CAACAAAAAATCTATCCAACAGGGTTTTGCAGAGAGATGTACTTTTAATAATGGACAAGAGTACTAAACTTTAACTTTAGATTTGTTCCCCCTTTACTCAAAAATCAGTGACACTCAACACAATTTTTTTGTGTTTTAGACCTGATTCATCTCATGGATCGGATAAGCATATTTTTCCACCAATACAAGAATCCAAATATGCACCGTCTGTTCTTTTGTTTTTCTGTTGTATGCATTGTGAAGCTTATTATTTGGGAGCTGTGACCACCTAAACATGCAGAATTCATGGTCAGGCTTTATCCTTCCTCTCCTTTTCGTTTCTCCTCACTGCTGCTTTCCATCCCCCCCTCCCCTACCTGTCATTCATCCCTCTCCCCATCTCCATATCTTTCTTTGCTGAGTGTAAATGTTTTAACATCAGATGCTCCTATAGGACAACAAAGTTATCACTTACACTGCAGTCATCCACTTACACACTCACACACATACAGTCATGTTACTCACAGGTCTGCATGACCTTGTGTCAGTGGTGCTCTGTAAGAGAGATAGTGTGTCGTGGTGTATTGTGATCATAATAAGGAGTAGTGTGGGTGTTTGTGCATGTGTGTTTTCGTGTATAAACCAGAGGCAGATAAAATGTTCGAATTCATTTCCTGACAAGGGTAAAATCACCTCTAATAAATTACAAGTGTTTTCTCTTTTTTCCTTGCCTTTAAACCAGGTGAGAATGAGGATAGACTATTTAAAGAATAGGGTTATGTGTAAAGGGAATGAATTGAACTTAAGTGATTCGCCTTTTTAGCAGAACAATCTGTTATCCCTTTTTTTTCTTGAACATATTGCTTGCTTTCCTGGGTCAGTAGTCCTGTGTGGAAAGGCTAAGCTATAAATATGCATGGCTTCATTCACATTCCTCGCGGTTCTCCTCTCCATTCAACTGTTATACTTGTCAGCTTTAGTTTTTGGTTGTAAAGAAAAATGTGTGTTAACTGTTTATTAGGGGGACCTACAAAGGCACATGACAAATATTTACTTGAACACAACAAAGGCACTGAAGTGTGGCTATTATTCCTTGAAGTAATTCCACAATTGATATGTATGGTAAATTCATTTAGTGTCTCCAATGTCTGATTTTTATAAACATGTATTGGAAAAACAGCCAACATGCACAATCTGCACATTCTAAGTGAAACAAATAGACTCTCTGGGGCTTAGTGTATAAGAGTTGACTCCATAAAAAGAGAAATCACAACGAGAAAAGCACATTCAGCATTTAAACTTATTGTGATTGAAAGGAACACAAATACACTTTATTAACAGTGTGGCTTTTTGGCGTAATGCCCAAATGCATTTTCCATCCACTTGCTCTTTATTTATTTTTTAAACTAAGGTTGAAGTGCCTATAAACAAGACTCTGTTCCATAAAAAAATTGGAAAAATAAAATCAATGGTGATACTCTTTGAGCTACTCAATGGCAAACAGGAAACCACTTTAGCAGTGAATGCGTGTAATGTATGATTGTCACCAATTGGATGAGGGAGGAATGAATTGCCAGCTATTAATTCAGTTTCAAGTGTATTACACTATCCACAAGTGTTCACAATTGTTGCTGAAATTCCTGTTGTGACAAAATAAACCAAAATATGATTTTAATATAGCACTATTCTTTTTAATTTAAAGGTCACCTTTTATGCAAAATCCACTTTTTCATGTATTGTATACATAAACATGTGTCCCCTCTGTGTAAAGAGATTCTGAAAGTTTCAGGACAAAAAAGATTTGCTCACTTTTTGTCCTGATCCATTTTTATAAAGACCTGTCTGAAAATGAGCTCATCAGATTTTGGCCACTTTATGATGTCATAACTATTTTTTGGCTTGTGTAACCATTAGCCCCCCCACCTTATCACCTGAATCTCCTCCTAGAGCACCATTGTGTTCTCTTTAACCAAATATCTCTCAGAGGGGCGTGGGACCTTATTTTCATCTAAAGTAACAGACAGAGAATCAGCACTTTTGAAACAGGGCTGAAACAGAGGGGTTTATGGGATGCTACAATGGGTGATATGTTTGGTATTTGGAGCCAAACACTTCAGAGACATGTTTTGTATATATATATGAGACTTATACTATATTGATGAAAAACAGTATAATAGGGGACCTTTAATACCCAAATTAGATAGCTAAAAGCACATATATATATGGATTGATAGAACGTGGAGAGTGGGTAATCACATTTCAAGACAGTGCTGCATCATTGACATGAAAAATAGAACAAAGGTGTATAAAGACAAAGGGAAGACAGAAGTATTGCTTGTCTTTCTGCATTACCTAAAAACAACAGACCAACAGAGACAGGAAGACACACAGACACTTGTCATGCTCTGTTGCTGTACACTGATTTGACAGAAGCAGCTGAGGGATGCAGCCTTGTCCATCATCCTGTTGACAGACACGCACACCAAGGTCCTGACAGATGCACCATGGGACAGCAATGTTGCCATGTTTATTTAACATATGACTGTGTGTTGTAGGTATACTGTATGTATTTATCACCAGGCAACCACAATCAATCTATGTTTTCCAACACCATCTTGGAGTTTTACCTGAATCATCATCTTTTTTCTTTCAGCTCAATGTCAGTTATTATATTAGCAGACATTCTCAATATGTTCGCAAACTTTCTGGAATAGCGATGGTTTTGGATGAATATAGGTTGCATTTTTAAATCTGTCACAGTTTGTGTTCTAGTTCATGTGTACTCGGACTGCATCTTTAAATGTTAAGATATTTTTCCAAAGTTCTCAAAATAGTGCATTATCTGATATAAGATTAACACAACTGCGATACATGCTCTCTTGTGAGAGCTCTTTGATAGAAAAGTGCTGGAAAAGTTGTATTTATTAATTATTTTTCCAGTATGTTTTATTTATGATTTGTCTTTGCCACAACCTTGTCATCTAGACATTTCTCGGGTGAATGTTTCTCAGCGGTGTTGAGGAATGCGTTTCTCACATTATACCTCCAGGTTTTTCTTCTTCTCCTAACTCCCTTTCCTTTACACACTTTTGTTGCCACAGTAGGTGAAATACATTTCCTTTGAAGTGTATTATCTTAAATTCAGTTGTTTTTTTTTAGGAGGAGGAGGACAGAGTGAACGTGGGAGAGAGGAGAGGGTGAGGTATGGAGATACTGTAGAGGAAACAGAAAAAGAGAGGGATCGAGAGAGAAACAAAGGAAGCAGAACATTGCGTAGAGTTGGGAATATTACATTGTATGTAACATTAAGCTGTTAAATAAAAAAGTGTTTGGGGAAACACCAGTTATATTATGCTGTGTTGCCTCACACACACACACATACACACACACACACACACACACACACACACACACACACACACACACACACACACACACACACACACACACACACACACATTTGAATTTCAACTTTTCAAAAGAGGTTTCCCTTTGAGTCAAACCCCAGAAAGCATCTTATTAGATACAGCACAACACCCCCCCCCACACACACACACACATATACAGGTGCATACATACAGTATATACACACGTATAACATGCAGAACACATATCAAGGGACATACAGTACATGGCATATTTGCTGGTAGTTTTTGGCAAGACATGAAGCAACACAAACACACAAAAGTAATAATGAGAAGAGAGACAAAGAGGGTTGGCAGATTATTTTCCTTCTGTAAAGAGGAAAAAGTTTATTGGAGAGCGTGCCTATGTTGGTATTTGTTGTTACCAGAGACCATTGTTTGTGTCTTAATAAGAAAAGCAGTAAACAAGCTTGTGTGCATGTGTGTGCGTGACTAGGAAGTGTGTTAATAAACTGAGGTAGGGTCTCGTTAAGGTGATAAATAGAACAAAACACATCGGGACGGATTAGAGAGAGAGAGAGAGAGAGAGAGAGAGAGAGAGAGAGAGATGGGGGAAAATAAAGAGATTAACCATAGTATGCCTTGAGATTGAAGGGGGGAGGAGGGGAGGAGGGGCAGAGGGAGGGATAAACTAAGGTATACTGTATAGGGGAGGAAGAGAGGGGGGAAGGAAGGGAAGGAAATCACAAAGGGATGGATGAAAGGCAAGCTTTAGGAGGAGGTGAAGACAAGAGATGAAAGAGAAGACCTGGTGAGGAAAATAAAGGAGAGAGACAGAGAGTAACGAGGGAATGCTGAAGAAGGAGGAATAGAAACAAGAATGACATCTGGAAGGGAAGGATAGGAAAGATGGGAAGGAAAGGAAGGGGTATGACATCTAATAGAAAACTGAAACATAGAAGTAGGGAGGGTTGAAGCCAAGAGAAATGGAGGAGGAAATCCTCCAGATTAAAGGAAAACCTGGATGTAAAAGAAGAGGCAGAGATGAATGGCCCTAATCTAACTGGAGAGAGAAGAAAAGAGAACAGGAGAAGGGAGAGGACGAGGGCTGGCAAAACATGAGGGTCAGTTAATAGAGGATACCTCTGCAAAGTACTTAGTGAGAAAGACTGCCATTCAAAACAAATATTTACAGAGGAGAAAGGCAAACAAAGGAAAGAAAAGTAACAGAAACAATCATATCATTTTACACTGCTCATAATTGTTGCCTCTCCTTAGCAAAGCAACATGTTATGTATTAGATATCATCTACAGAATAGCATCCTTCGCGCAGTGTATACAAACGTTTCTTTCTCAAGAACTATTACTGTCAATCCTTTGTCTTTTCCCACCAAAACATACTGTGGGAGGCAGCACCATGCTGTGTGAATACATTTTTGAAAGACATTGTATACAAAGATTATGGCACATATCAGGGATTCAAGAAAATCTGCGAGAAATCGGGGCAAGGACACCAAATTCAATTTTAAGCAAATTCCCCCTAACTGTCAGTGTGTCAACTCGGCTTCCTCTCCTATCTTGTTTATGATGTGCTCGTGCGAACTTTAAATTAACCTCACTTTCTCTTCTCTCTCTTTGTCTCGTTCCTCTCTGCAGGGTGTGGTTCCAGTCAGGCATTAACTTCCTGGCTGTGAAACCCAGCAACTTCGTTGCGTGGGAGATCAAACAGGAAATGGCGCCCGGAAGCAACTCGTTGGCGGTGATGTGTCAGAGAAGGGCCTCCTCCACAGCACAGAGGTAAGACTGAATCTCAATACTCATGTTTCCCCTCGTCAGCAGCTGATTTGCCTATTCCTTGTTTTTGCGGGTGCATAAATGCGAAGATCTGTGTTTATTCTGCAACAAGGCACCTTTTAATGCCCTACATCTGAGCAATGAGCGATATAGTTGTTATCACAAGGACAGATTCTGCACCAAAGAACAATGAAATATTCATGATTTGTGTATTATCCTCACATTTTTCTCAAGTTTACAATGAATAGACTTAGATCGCTGAGCTTGATTCTGGTTTTGATTGTAGGCGTTGTCGTATCACATTTTCATATAATCATTTAAACAATATACATAGATTATGTCTTATACTGTGATAATAATAATAATAATAATAATTTCAATTTATATAGCGCCTTTCACGAAACCCAAGGACGCTTTACAATGGGAAGTAACAAAACAAAAAGTAATAATAATCATACAGATACACAGGCTGAAGAAAACAAAACAGGAACAGGTTGCTGAGTACTGTATATTAGTTGAGGCCAAAGGCCTGAGTGAACAGATGGTGTTTGAGCTGTTTTTTGAAGGTGTCCAGAGTGTCTGCATTCCTGATTGCAGAGGGGAGAGAATTCCAGAGGGTGGGGGCTGCGACACTGAAGGCTCTGTTGCCAAATGTTTTCAGCTTGGAGCGCTGGATGGAGAGCAGCCTTTTGTCAGAGGACCGCAGGTGACGAGAGGAGGTGTAGGGCTGAAGGAGGTCAGAGATGTATGGAGGGGCTAGGGAGTGGAGAGATTTGTAAGTTAGCAGGAGGAGTTTGTACTGGATGCGTGATTTGACCGGGAGCCAGTGAAGGTGGATGAGGGTAGGGGTGATGTGTTGCCAGGGCTTAGTGTGGGTGAGGAGCCTAGCTGCAGAGTTCTGGACGTACTGGAGCCTGTCCAGGGCTTTGCTGGTGACCCCGAAGAGAACTCCATTGCAGTAGTCCAGACGAGAGGAGATGAAGGTATGAATTAATGTTTCTGCAACGGGGTCGGGGAGAGAGGGCCGGAGTCTGGAGATGTTTCGTAGGTGAAATAAAGCAGTTTTGACAGTAGACCTGATGTGGGAGTTGAAGGTGAGGCTAGAGTCCAGAGTGACGCCCAGGCTGCGAACCTCAGGGGAAGGGTGGATGGAGTAGATTTTTTGACATCCAGGCTTGGATGTCGCGGAGGCAGTTGACAAGTGACAGTGGGGGTAGCTGGGATGATGGATTGGTACTGATGTAGAGTTGGGTGTCGTCGGCATAGGAGTGGAAGTTGAGACCATGTCGGCGGATGATTTCACCGAGGAGGAGCATGTAGATGTTGAATAGAAGGGGGCCGAGCACCGAACCTTGCGGCACACCTTGGTTGACAGGGGCTGGGGGAGAGCTGGATTTTCCGATGGTCACAAACTGTTGCCTGTTGGAGAGGTAGGAATGGAACCAGGAGAGGGCTGTACCAGAGAGGCCAAGGTAGACGGATAGGCGGTTGAGTAGGATAGTGTGGGAGACTGTGTCGAATGCGGCGGAGATGTCCAGGAGGATAAGGATGCTGACGAGGCCTGAATCGGCGGCTATGAGGAGGTCATTGGTTATTTTAATAAGGGCCGTCTCTGTGCTGTGGTTGGATCTGAAGCCTGATTGGAAGGTTTCGTAGAGCTCATGGTCGGACATATGATGGTGGAGTTGGGCAGCAACTGCTCTTTCCATGATCTTGCTAAGAAAAGGAAGGTTGGAGATCGGCCGGAAGTTGCTGGGGTCCTCGGGGTCGAGACCAGGTCATTTTAACAATGGTGGAGCAGAGGATGGGTAGGCAAGTTTTGACCAGGGCAGAGGGCATGGAGTCGAGGGAGCAGGTTGTAGCCTTAGCTTTTGAGACAAGTTTGGTAACCTGTGTGGCATCCACTGGTGCAAAGGAGGAGAGACAACATTGAGGCAGGTGTTGAGTTGAGCGAACAGTGACTGGAGGGTGGTGTGGCATGTGGATGGGATGGGGCAGAGGCCTGGAGTTTCTGGTGGATGGAGTTGACTTTGTCCTCAAAGAAGTCAAGGAACCTGGTGCAAAGCTCGGGGGCGTCTGCTGGGTTGGGGGGGTCAATTGGGCGGAGTAGGCGGTTTATGGTGGAGAAGAGCATACGGGGGTGGTGTTGCTGGTTACCGATGAGTGAGGAGTAGTAGTGTGCCTTAGCTTTTGAGAGGGCGTCCTTGTAAGATTTGACATGCTCTCGAAACGCCTCCAGATGGACGGTGAGGCCAGATTTTTTGTGGAGCCGCTCCAGTTGGCGGCCAGAGGCTTTCATGGCACGGAGACTGGTGGTGAACCAGGGGGCTGAGTGATTGCCTTTTACTCGTTTAAATAGTATTTTTAGTCCTATATGTGTTTAACAGAGACATATAGGATATACATTTCAGGAAGGGCAAATGGTGGATTTGCAAATGGTTAAGAACTGGGGGGGTTTTATGGTTTAATGGTGGGGATGTTTAGATAATGCCTAAGATAATTAACGTGTGGTATAGTGTACCAGATATAGTGTGACTGAAAGCTGTGTTCGGGGTGCAAAGCCATTTTATCCTTTGAGCATGAAGTTGCTCTGTTCCTGCATTTGAGATAGATTTCAATTGTATATTGACTTTCTTTATTACTTTATCAACTATAACAAAAGACAAACTTTGTCCGTGAATAATTTATCAGTTTCTCTTAAGGGAATTATAATTTCCTCCACAGCGTTATGTTATCTATCTTAATATATTTACTATGTAAATGCATTGACAATCTAACATGAAAAGCTTGTCTTTCTGATTATTGACTCTTGCCTTGAATTTTAAACTCTAACCTTTAGAAATGGTGTTTAAATACATATCAATGAGTGTGAAATGCATAGACTGAGGTTAGGGGGTAATGTATTGTGTCCTGTACACACACCATGGGTATACAAATACACACCTGGCTGACAAGCCAACCCAGTCTCATGGCATTTCGTGTTCACCAACACAATTTTTTATCTATTGATTCGTGTTCACCAACACGATTTTCCCCTTTTTTTCGTGTTGCACAGCACGATTTTAAAAGCAATGTATTTCTACTGGTAATGACGCTCATGGAAGCACGGCATTCGTTTGTGTCGGCTGCCCTTAAAGGCAATGTGAGCGTCCATTCTCATTGGATAACGGAGAATTGTACACCCGGAAGTAAGTATTCCCCTTATTGTCGATTGATTTTACAGTGATATCTGCACACAATTTTCACACAATTTCTTTAGCAGGACGAATTTAAATCATAAAGATCAATATTCTACAGTCAATTTCTTAATTTCTTAGATAGTATGTTACCTTTATCTCCACCAGACGGTTTTTGAGACAAACTTCAGAATAGGATTTCAAAATATATTTGGAAAAACCAATACCCAAGAATCAGATACAAAGTTCTACAATATGATAAAAACAGTGGAGGCCTTAATGTTCCCAATCTCGAGCTCTATTATTATTCCTTCACGCTTCAAGCCTTGAAAAACTGGATTAATGAAAGCACCAATGTACAATTGAAAGAACCAGTGGCGAGCCGTCAGGGCCCTCTAGGCCCTCTCTGAGGGCCTAATATATTCTATTGGCATGGGAAAGGGATTCCCTATATTTTTTCTTTGTCTTTTCTTTTTCTTTTTGTATTATTGTCTATATAATTTGTATCTGTGTATACAGTATAAGTCCCTCTGTGAGGGCAAAAATAAAAAATAGCAATAAAAAGTTGGTCACAAAAAAAAAGAAATTATGTAAAAGTATGAAAGACTTGAAGAGAAACACTAATGTACCATTTGAGTAAAGATGCAGGCTGATGGCAAAACATGTATATATTTTCTTCTTCCTATATGTATAATGTTATGTGGATGCACTATTTACAAATGCAGTCCAGACAACACGCACAGTTTGAAAATACTTCATACAAGATCCAGCATGTTTGTTGCCAAAATTAGAATACAGTATATTGGCGTATGGGTTGGTGTCAGGAAAAGTCAGCTGCAACAGCGTTAGCCATGGCTGAATGGAAAGCTTATAAGCATACATATGGATAAGGTCTGTTCCACTTTTCTTTCCTGTTCACCTATCATAGGGTGACCAGACGTCCCCGTTTTCCGGGGACTGTCCCCGTTTGTATTGGCCTGTCCCCGGTTGAAACTATCCGCGGAAATGTCCCCATTTTTTAATACACGTTAAAAACACATAGCAAGGTGAAATAAAACGTTTCATGTCAGGAAACACTGGGTAAACAGACTGCGGTCAAGCCAGCCCCCACTTCGGAAAACAGTCAAGCCAGCCCGAATAAAAGCGTTTACTCGGTCAATAACAAATATAACTAAAAAACATACCATATATAGGCTACTGGAGCTTAAATTAAGAAATATGTACTATATAATGTGATCAATAATAATGTAAAACAAACTACGTATAACCACATTATAACTGAGTGAATGTAAAATGTAAGGATACAGTTATGTATCCTTACATTTTTTTATACAAGACATGTTTTTATACAAGATACATATCGGACATTTCCTCTGGGTGACTAATTTCAATTGATGTTGACACCATCTCACAACACTGCTAAAAATAACATTACTTTCTGAAGCACAATTTAAAATGTATGCTGTTTAAAATCTCAAATTAGATCTATTGTCCATCTATATTTTGATTATTATTTAATGGAAACTGTCTATAATCAAAGAGTCATTCAAAGTCAATCAAATACTTATTTCACTCCAGGGTGATAGCAGGAGACCCCATCTAGTCAATCAGAGAAAATCAGGACAATCTGATGTAGAGTTTCAAAATAAAATACTTTTGAAATCTCATATATGGGCTATCGTCCTTCTGTTTTTATACAAGAATAAATAAAAAACTGTCAAATTATCAAACACTTATTTCTCTTCAGGATGATAGCAGGACACCCCATCTAATCACTCTGAGAGAATCTGGACAATCTGATGTACAGTTTCAAAATAAAAGAACTTG